TACCGCCCTAAGGGCTGGATGTCATCGAAGTTATATTGACCATTTATGTACATATTTTTTTATATAATATGAAAGTTCTCTTTTTCTAAACAACTTTTATTGAAAAATGTTCACGATATCTTGTTTTGCTCATTCAGTTTTTCTGTAATGGCAGACAACCATCGGATCTGGTCGCACTGTATACCTATACCTAACTTTAATTAAAAAACTCCGTATAATATAGGAACGCAGCTTCGACGAGAGATTATATTTTCCTAGTTTGGAACAAAAGTGCATTACACTGAAAGCAGCGCCACCCTCGTATTTTAAAATGGATTTTATACATGAACTTAGTAAATCCATTATACAGGGTGTCCCTGACATGTCTTTACAACTCTCCACCAGATACAGTGCGGATCAAAATAAGTCGATTTAGCTAAACTTGCCTTAGTTCAAAGTTGCTCCGTTTGGGCGCTATACGGCCCTAAAGTTGCAATTTTGAAATCGTTTTATTTTAATAAATTTAAAACGCCTTATGCGATATTGCCGACATTTGATAAGTTGACATCACTCTAAAGGACACTAAACCCCATACCAAAATTATGAGAGATATCATTCCATTGGCATAGAACTTGGGTTTTCTAGTAACTACACCACACCTTTCATAATTCTACACCAATAGAAGAATATTTTAAGATCAAATTTAGATTAAGTAAATTATTTACAACAAAAAAAGGTCTCACGACTCAATTACTCTCATCGTTTATTCGGAAATTTGTAATTTTAATCATTGGCTGCAATTTTGACACAAAAATTAAATTAGGAAAAAATTATTTACAATTGTTCCTGATATTTTTTAAATAAAAATGAAAATTTTTAACAAACACGCTTATTCGTTACGGCGTATTTCCATATGGGTTTTGTGTATTAGTTATAACTTATCTCAATTTTTTAAGAATGGCAAATAAGTGAATATTGAAAATTATCGTCCTATATCTATGCTTTCCAACTTTTCTAAAATTTTTGAAATTAAACTGTATAATCGCATATACAATGTTATTAGAGGTCAGTTAGTGGTGGAACAGCACGGTTTTATTATGAACAGCTCCACTGTTACAAATTTGATAGTATTTACTCAATTTGTATCTGATACTTTAGATAAAGGCGGTCAAGTAGACACTATTTATACAGATTTTGCAAAGGCATTTGACAGACTTGATCACCAAATCCTTTTAAAGAAACTTGTCGAATTTGGCTTTAATAGCAACGCGTTATCACTATCATACTTAAATAATAGAGTAGTCCGATTTGTTTCATGTAATGGGTTTGTGTCACCCAATTACTTTGCAACTTCAGGGCTCAAACCTAGGGACTTTATTATTTCTAATTTTTATTAACGACATTTGTCAAATAGTTGACTGCAATAAGCTATTATTTGCTGATGATATGAAGATCTTTACATCGATTTATTCCATAGGTGATTGCTTAAAATTACAGAAGTCTTTAACCAATTTGCAAACTTGGTGTTCAAATAATAAATTGCATCTTAATATACCCAAATGTAAAATTGTTTCTTATACCAAGAAGAGACTACCTATTATTTTTGATTATGTTATTACTGACATTGCACTTTCTCGCTATGAAACCGTTAAGGACCTTGGTGTACTTTTTGATTATAGTTTATCTTTTCGGGAACACATATTCACTAAAATAAATGAGGCAGCAAAATCGTATGGCTTCATATTAAGAAACTGTAGAAACTTTAGCAACATTAAAACTTTAAAAACATTATATTATTCGTTTGTCAGGTCTAAATTAGAATATGGTTGCATCATTTGGAATCCATATTATC